CTTTGTGTCAATGCTCGTTTTTCACAAAATGCAAGTCTAGTTTGTGGGATTGGAATGAGTTCAATTGAAAATGCTAGTCTTGTGTTTTGCAAAGACCCTTGAATGTACAGGGTGCTGCAAAAGTTTGGTGACAGATGTTATGATGTAATAAAATTGTATTTTTGAAAATTTTACATTTCTGTGAATGCAATTATGTTTGTCTCCTTCCTAGCCACTTCGTTAATGTTTATTGTTTTCGTCCGCATTTTATTCCTTTTCTCTGTTATGGTTTAAAATAAATAGTTTTTCAACAGTCACCAAACTTTTGCCGCACCCTGTAAGTGGACATGCGTGTGCATGCTTGCATCTACCTGCCTGTCCAAGCAACAGCACATAGGACATATGTCTCACAGAGTGTGAAATGACCTTAATGCTGCTCTGTTCATAGGCTTGGCTATATATATTTCCTTTTTTAGACCAAGTTTTTGGTTAGCTGCAACTTAGACCTAATCAAGATGTAGACCTATCATAGTATATAGTAAACATTGATAAAATGAGAGTCTTTTTCTTAGGACTTCCTACCCATTGCCACCTTTGAGGAGATTATGGACGACAGAACCATGGTGGAGTACCAGTACCAGCACATCTACAGCACAAGAAACCTCACCACCTCCAAAGTCAGAGGCAGCCAGCAATGGTAAAGAAGAATGTACCAAAACTGCCACAAGTGAGGTTGAGAAGATCATGGAGATGCTGAAATCTTCAGAGGAGAGATGCTTAGAGTTGGAGGCAAGCATCATGTTAAATAGTCTTCTCCTCTCAATGTAGGCTAGGCTTATTAGAAATAGGGTGTGTAATTTTTTTCACTTTGTGGCCACTATGGTGACTACTGCTGATGGAGCAGATTTAAAGGACAACCTGCACTGATGTTATATGGGGAGAAAAATGCTGAGGTCCAAATTGCAAGATGACATTTGCATTGCATATCATGTGTGATTTTTATGAGCAGAAGTTAGCACCTTCAATTGCAATTTTTTTGCGTACAAATTCAGAAAAGCACAAGGGACATTAAAGGATGTTCTGAATTGGAGTTCTTGCTTTATAGTGCCTTAATCACATTGATTCCTTACATCATTTCAAAGACATTTCATGAAAAGAATACTCATTTTGGTGGTGGTATTGATATGGCAAGAGCTATTGCTTGATACTAATAACAGGAGCTTCTGAAAAGTGTCTAGATCATGTTCCAATGGAAGTTGTTTTTGTCACTTCCTTAAGGCCTTATCCATTGAGGCCTAGAGTGTAGATAGTGTGGGAGGTACAGCTGTGAGCTCTTCATAAAAGGAGTCAAGATCATTTTTAGAGCATGGGTAGCACCAGACAGATCATCTAGGTGAATCCTCTTTTTATCCTCTACTTATTTAAGTAGAGGATAAATAAATGCTTCTGATAAATACTATCAGAAAATTCAAAACAATTTTCTAATTCATATCATTCATCTTTGACCAAGAAAAACCCTCCTATGATCTGTTGGCCTTCTGCTATGGCAGTTGCTTCATTAATGAACTGACTTAGAGCCCTATTGTTGGATAGAGTGTCGACTCTCATAACTTCTCTAAAATCAATAATCTTGAAGCAATTTCTGAATCAAAAGTATGTACAGTTATGAGTATTAATGGAAAGTATAGGTTTAAAATGAATAAGAACCTGCATTTATATTGAACTCACTCTGAAGTTGTGCAGCTAATAACAAAAGCTGATGAAAAGTTCAATTTCTCCATCTACACAGAATTCTCCTAGAGTTAAGCTAATGAACATTCATGAACATTTAGTTGATGTCTGAAATGATTCAGCCTCACCATGACTTATATATGGGTGTTCTTCACAGGACAAATACAGGAGATCTCTGGCCGAGAATGAGAACCTACGGCAGCGGATGAATAGACAGATTGAAGATGCAAAGTTATTTGGGATTCAGGGATTCTGCAAGGACCTCCTTGAGGTGTCTTCAAGTCATGTTTTCATTAAACATTTACTTTTTTTTTTTTTTCACTGAGAGTCTCAACATTTCTGTTTTTGATTGGTGCAGGTTGCTGACATTTTGAGCCGTGCAACAGAGAGTATTCCCATGACAGCAGTGACTGATGAAAATCCTCACCTTAAAGGCCTTTATGAGGGGCTCAAGATGACTGAAGCACAGCTTCATAAGGTAGGCCTGTTGAAACCATAATTCTATTGACTGACTTGTGGAAGTTGAGACTCAAGAGTACTGGATTGAACTGAACTGTTATAATCACCTGGAAGTATCAAAAAGGTAAAAACTGATTTCTCACTAGTGGAACTTCCAAGATCCATTCAAGAATGTGGGCTAAACTTTCCACTTGGCAAATGCAGGAAGTAGGGAAACCCAACAAATCAAAGGTTTGAATTCCATCTGCCATTTTGGAGTTTGTGCCAGATCATGCTAAACCATATTTTCACAATCATAATTGTTATATAAACTTAGGTATTGTCACAGAGTAAGTGTAACACTGATAATCTTCCATGTGAAGCTGAGAAACTTTCAATTTGTGCAGAAATGACTTTCAGAAATAGAAATTGGTAGTTAGCACTATCTTGTTGAGTTCCATCATAATTTCTGCAATAAACAGTTTTAGCGTAGAATTCATTATAACAATATATCACAATCTTCATTAAAGTAATAAGCAGAGCTTGCCTCATTCAAAAAGAAACTGAAGCAAATTATTCAATCATTTCTTACTATTATTTTTATATTTTTCAAGGGTTGTATTATAAGTGACTGCCTGCAGCCATTGAAATTTAAGCATTGAGAAAAAAAAAGGAATCTTATTAGAATCCAAAAAAATATGGTAAATACTTTCTGAAAGACCTCCACTAGTATTGCCATGATTTTGTAACTGTACACTCATGGTCATGAGGCTGTGTTTACCAATATTGGCTGTAGATCTATAAAGTCTTCAATGATCTGCTCTACATTCATTGGTGCCTTACCAGTCTCATAACTGATAAGGTCTCACAGAATGCAGAAGCAAAGTATGTTTGTGCCTTTGAAGTAGCTCTGAATGACCTAAAGAATATTCAGTAAGTTTTTTTTTTAGCCCTGGTATATGAAGCACTTCAGGCTATAGACTGTAGTCAAGGATTTTGAATAGTTGCTCTTGGCTCATATGTGGAGGACAAACATAGACCAGAGAGGGTGAACCCACATGTTTTGTTAGCAGTCTACTTTTTTTTTTCATTCCTACTGATTGACTCTTGCTTTTTCCAGGTCTTTGCTAGGCATGGTCTTCACAAGATCAATCCAGTAGATGAGAAATTCAATCCAAATGAACACGAGGCCCTCTTTGAGCAGGTAAGGAACCTTTATGAGCCTCCCTTTTCCAGATGGAATGAACGTTGAATCAGGGAAATGCATTCATAGGCAGTAGATGGGAAGGAGCCAGGGACAGTGGCTTTGGTGACCAAGATTGGATATAAGCTCCACTCACGAACCATCAGACCTGCTCTCGTTGGAGTTGTCAAGGCAAAGTCTTGATTGAGACTGGCAGTGCTTTTCACTGAACCATTTGCTTATTAACAGAATGGTTCTCAAATTGAAGGACCTGAGAATCCACACATCTATATGGTTCAGCTTTCCATTCGGATAAAGTCATGATTCTGCTGTGATTTGTCTGTTGCAAAGCACCAGGGCTTGAATATAACTGGGAAAACGTACTCCTTTATTTTCTTCACATTAACCTTTGTAAGCAATATTAATATCAACTCCACATAATACTGATGGATGAGGTGAGAAGAGGACAGGAAGAAGGATGACTTTGGATGATAAGGCTTTGGAATGTCTTTGTTACTCTTGTCTTGTTCATTCATGCAAGACATGACTACTACCAGTAAAAACCAAAACATAATTCATGAACAAGGTCCAATCAACACCTGAAATGGTCTTCATGGTACAACTCTTAAAATAGTATGTGTGAAAACAACCAAGATTAAACGAGCAAAATGCAATGAAAGATGAACAGGATATTCAACCTTCCCTGAGTAAAGCAGGCATCCACAGGCTGAAAAGCACCTACAAACATTTCCTACGACCAGCAATACAAACATGTAAAAATTTGCAAGAAGCAAATAGTTTCAAACAGACATAATTTCTCAAATATTGGTGAGTTGGTTAGCCTTGAAAAACAAGGACTTGATGGCAAGTATAACTATGAGGAATGGCAGGTAAGAAATGAAAGGGGTGATGATCACAGGTATGAAAGATGAAACTGGCTACAACAGGGTCAAAAAGAATGAAAATAAATAGGAGAAAGGGGGATCTGAAATTGGTCAGATGAAATTATGTATGAGGGGAAGGAATCCTGACTAGATGATCACAATTGGGATGGGGGGAGATTCTTTCTTTGATCAAAAGTTTCTTCCCACACTCATTCGATGCTCAATGTGTTTGTCTCCTCAACAGCCAGGAGAAGTTTTTCATGCAATGTCTCAAATGACAAGTAGGGAGGCAGATCCAGACGATTGAAGCACGTATGAGCCCTGTATGTCAATACCAAAAGAACTATACATGTCTTGGGAAATGAAAAGGTAATAGTAACTATTTGTACTGGGTACTGACTAACCTGGGCAAAGAGGATGGCTTGCCCCATTTCTCAATGCAGAATCGTCTTGGTCCGTTAGAGCCCCGCAAGGCTGAGAACCCTTCATATGGAATACTTGAGGTTCCAGTGACAAACTGAAGAAGACGGAGCCTCCTATCATTGTCCCAGCGCTCCAGGACACTCCAAAACCACTCAATGACCGGATGTCCATCATGGTAACCAGAGCGGTACTCTGTGTTTCTCCTCCAGTCAGACACGTCAATCTCCACTGTTCCTGCTATTACTAGTTCCAGTTCCCGAGCATCAAACACAGATACAAGCCGAGGATCTACAACCTCATAGAAGCCAGACACAAGATATTTTGTTTGCTCTGCAATGCCTCGTTCCAGACGCCACCGGACTACTCGCTCAATGTATTCCTGGAATAAATATTAAAAAATCGCTATTTTGAGATTTCATCCTTGTCATGAACAATTCCTCAATTGCTTGCTCAACAGAATTTTCCCCATTCCACACACTTTGTTGGGGCCATCCTTAACCCTTTCACGGTCCAGTTTTTCCGAAACCTCCCTGGAGGATGACTGATATTCAGTACATAACCATGAAAGGGTTAATGGACTTTCAACACCTGCAAAGCTGATATGCAACTTTCTCAAAAGATTAAAGTAGCAATGGCTCTGCTTTACAATGTGGTTATCATTTAGGGGGGGTTTGGTTTCATACCTGCTTGTTCTTCTCAGTGACCAGTATCTTCCTCCCACTGGGCTTCAACTCACGTTCAATCACATTCCCAAACACTTCCTCATTCACAGCAAATGTTAGGTCAAGGTCCTCTGTTGCCTCATTCTCAGACAGCCATAGCAGTGATGAATAAAACTCTGCATCAATAGACTCCAGGTCAGAGATGTTCATGGGCCTGTGATATGAGATCAGTCAAGTTTAGTTAAAGTGACCATATATCAATGCTTCATATTGTACAGGGTGTCTCAAAAGTCAGGACATATAGAGACTTAGCCTCTTTAAGGCAAATACTGTTAACCCATTGACGCCAGGAACCGTAATATTACGTTTTTAAACCCATAGTGTTCTGGAGTCACTGGGTGTGAATGTGTTAAGTACACTTTGCTATGTATTACATTTTAAAATAAGAATCATTCAATCGAAATCAAAATGGGACATCAGTGCAGGCAATTGACAAGACTCATGAAAACCCTGTGTACTGACCAACTTACATGACATCTTGTACACATCATTACACAGAGCACACTTTAAATTTAAAAATATGCTAAAATTAGTTATTAATTCTGGCTTGGTAGTATATTACACTATTAGCCCTGTCTCCCTTAAGAAAAACCTTTTTTTTTTCCCCCCCCTACCCCAAGGCAAGGCAAGAAAAAAAAAAGGTTTTTCTTAACTGAAACAGGGTTAATATCATTAACATTGGCTTATCAATACTATTTTCAAAGAGATTAACCCTTTGACTGGCAAGTTTCACAGATGCCTGTTATACAGGAGCCCATAAATTCACAGGCATGCCAATCAGAGGGTTAAAGATACTTCCTACTGCTGAATTACTTACAGGCGTAGGAGAGCCTTATAGAAGGGCCTGGTGAAAAAGGCATCCAACAGGTATTGATGAACCAAGGCCAAGCCTAAGACCCGACCACAGAAGACAAACCTGAAAGAAAATTGGGGATGTACAGATATTTACAAAGCATTGCAAAGCAGAGCATTATTCATCTCAGAAATAGGGCTCACCAGTCTTGATAATCATCAACAAAGGCTGAGAGTGGGGAGACCTGGACAGTGTATGTATCATTTGCAGAATATTCAAAGAGCCCATAATAGGGGTTAAAGAGTTGACGGGAGAGGAGGAAGAAGAACTCCCGACTGGGTCCTCCATAGTCCAGCCCCTCTTCTCCTATAAATGTGACACAGAGCTTTGATCGTTGCAGCTCTTTCTTTGATGTCATCATGATCTTGTTAAATGCATCCTCCAAGACATGTTCCCGGCGCACTGTCAACCTGAAATAATCAAGATGTGCTCATATTTACCTATGGTAAACTTTTTACAACTTGAAATGATGAGCTCAAGGCTGTTTTAGTATTATTATTCTGTATTATTATTATAAGCTGTATTAATCTTCCTTGAAGATTAATAAGCAATCCTAAAAAAATAAAACTGTCTCTATATATTAATCGACACTGGCACTCAGGAGTGAAAAGCACCTCTTTTTCATAACTGGACAAATTTTTCCTGCACTTGTGTTTTTCTGAACTTTTGCCAATCATAATTACTGTAGGATCTGATTGTTATCATTTGCACTCTTATTTCAGCCCATGTAGTCCAGTTCCATTACAATTGGGGGAAGAAAGTGTGAAAAAATGTAATACTACTCTGAATATTTCATCAAGTAAAATGATAAAATTGAACTATCACTAGAGCAGGATCAATTAGGAAAATCTCACTTCAGTTTGCTTGGTCCCTGTCCATATCCTTTTGCCTCCATCTTTCTGTAGAAGTTTCTGAGCTTGGCCTCAAAGTCACGCCGATAAGGAGCAGGTGCACGGAGGTTCACAGCTCGTCCAAGTGCTGGTGAGGCCTGTGGAGATGGCTGGGGGCTTCGAGCCCCATGCAAACCAATTCCAGTGCCCATTCCTACACCTGGTCCAGTTCCCCCAGTTGATGGCATGTACAGCATTATTTCTTGCTCAAACAGACTGTCAAAAATACAATGATATCATGGGATGTTCTTAAGTGAGATTGAACAGGTACTAGTTGAGCCTTGAGGAGTGCAATGTTCCAGGCTCTGCACATGTGCAGCAAGGACTAAGTACATGATGCTGTATATATTACCTTTCAATAGCAATGGAGTGGAAATGACAGGATGACTGACATTTTTTATGGAGTAGCAATTTTTTGTTGTTGTTGTTGAAAAGATGATGGTTTCACAATGCTTAAATTCCTATTTAGGTAACTTATTTTTTTAAGCTTTTTTCCTACTCTCCATGTTTGCCATTGCAATACTGAAAGGAGAACATAATTTTCTTTGGATTGCTGGTTCCACAGCATGATGCTTCAATGCTTAGTGGACAAACTTTTTCTATCCTTTATCACATGGATGCACAACCGCTGACTGGATCCAGTTTACTGGCACTGCCATCCCATTGAATATAGACCTGCATTCCCTGATGACTGGCATGTGCTGAGTACCCAGTTACCATCTGATCCCTAGAAAAGTTGTGCATTCCTGCTCTATCTGAATTGTGGTATACTCGACATAGGACTACAAGGGTTAACATATTTTTGTTCACCTGAATCAAGCTTCAATTCCTGCATATGTCCAGCATTTTGGTAGCTACCCTAGTAACATGTAACATTGAATTATCATTGATTCAATGTTGGTTAAATGTCCAGATGTATGCTACTAGGATACATTCAATGAGCTCATGCTCCTGGACAAGAGTGGAAACAGCATTCACATGCCAATGAGAATGAAGAGTCCCCAGTGTAAAAACATTCATCTATGCATGAACTTTGCTTTTGTTGAGTTTTTAATTTGCAGGATTCTAATAATTTTATTTTGAATCATGAATATCAAAAATAGGTAGGAAGTGCCTACCCCCCCAAAGATGAATCACTAGTGCTAAATATTATGATTCACCAATGAGTACCATATCCATTTAAAGGTTGAAGATCAATCACATCATCCACATGCTATTGAAGAATGGGAGCTTAATGTGAGATGTGACTCAGAGAGATGCATATGTAAAAGAGCAACAAGACATTATTCATTTGGAAAAAACATACATGCCTCATGATTGTTTCATACCTGAGCAATATTATGAGTTCAATGTCGTCAACAAGTCGATTGAGAGCAAGAGTGCCCTCACCCCGAATGGCCTGTATCTTTTCTCGGAGGGATGCAGAGGAGCCAACGGGGGCATGCCGTTCCTTGAGAATATCCAAAATGTTAGGTTGACGGAGGAAGGCCACCACCCTATCTGCATAGGTAGGAGACGGGGATGAATCCACTTGGTCAGAAGAGTTTTGAACTCCTAAGGGAGGTGTGAGAACTCCCAAGGGAGAAGGTCTTGGTGGTGGGGTTGGGGGCACACGAATGGGGGTCTCATTCCCTGAGCTACGACTTCGTCGTCTTAGACACGGCTGATGCTCAGCTCCCTCCACAGGAAGACGGGGATCAATGAATGTCGTTGTCTTACAGCCATGATCAATGAAGAACTGAAAAACCAGATATCATCAGATTCAAAATACTCCTGTGCACATATTTATCACATAGGAAACAGCTTCAGTAATTTACCAATAATTGTTACAACTTCAGGTTGTCCTGTTGCACTGGGTTGGGGGTTGGCTTGGTCAAATACCATCTATATACTACCCACTTCCAAAATGATTCGGGCAAGCCAATTTTCTCTGCCAACTCTTTTTTATTTTTCATTTTACAAATAACTGGACAGCAGTAATGAAAGAACCTCAAAATGGTCAACAACTTTGACATGTGGACTAACTGCAGGCAAAAGCAAATTGTGACATTACAAACAGATAAAAAGTTATTAGCTCTCAAAATAACATCACATGTTCCAAAATGGTTCGGGCATTGGCACTAGTACTTTGTGACTTCACCTCTTGCTTGTGCTTGTGTGCAGGTACTATACCCTGCTCAAAACCCCCCTTGATATGATGAGAGAAGGTTACGTTCCTCAACCTATTGGCGCAATCTGCGTTCCATAATCTTGCTAGCAACTTTGTAGAATCCTGAGAGGAGTGAGATCCCTCTAAAATTTGTTGGTTCCCTGGTCGACCCTTTGCCTTTAAAAAGTGGGACCCTAAAGGAAGCATTTATAATCATTGTAAGGACTTCAAGCGGGTTTGGACATAGGTGCTTAAGTAATTCATTTGACCATGAGTCTAATCCAGGTGCCTTTCCACATTTGAGGCTCAGGACTGCTGCCAAAATCTTTTCTTTTGTGATGTCTGCATCTAAAAACTCATCTCTTTGAATAGAAGATAGGGGTTGTAATTCCTGGTTCACTTGATTGTACATAAGATGTCTAAAATGATTCACCCGTTCTTCAGGTGATATTAGAGATTTCACTGGGGACCTCCTTCGCAGTCTATTAATCATTTCCCAGAAACTCCTTACTTCCCCTTTCCCTGCCATGCTTTTTAGCTTAACTACAAAATTTTCCCACCATTTCCCTCTTTGCTGCTTTAATTTTATTTTTATAATCTTTCCTGGCCTTAACATCCTATTTTCTATTTTCATCACATGGGCTATTATTAAACCTATGTAGAGCCTTTTGAGTATCTCTCTTAGCCTGTCTGCACCCCTTATTAAACCATTTCTGATTTGGTCTGGACTGTGTCTTAATATAAGAGAAACCTAAACATCCAGTCAAATGTGCTAGAGAGAAATCTAATAAATTCACTGCATGCATGATTGTTATTTCTGAAGATTTCAGGGCTTCACTGATATAACTCCATAAATTCTGAACTTCTTTCTGTAGTCTAGCTTCTCCTACCTGCTTCATCATCTTCTGGTTCCATCTACATTCCCTGAGAGCCCATGCATTCTTTTCCAGGGTTCTCTTTTCATTATTTTCTATAATTAATTGGAAGGTAGCAATCTGGGGGAAGTGGTCAGAAATAGCAAAGCTACCTATATGAAAATCCCTAGTGTATTGCCATAGTGTAGCATCAACAGCCACTATGCTGGAACCAGCATGTGAGATAAATGTATGTAATGCTGAAATCTTCCCAAATCTACCATTCAGAATCACTCCATTAAAGATATAGATGAATTCTAACCATTCCTTTGCAAGCTGCATTGGCCTGATCAAGTCCATTGATAACCTTGGCTGTAAATTGATCTCATCCATTTCCATTCCTACTTCCCACAAGGGCCAGGTTTCACAGGCATTTCCAATTCATACATTTAAGTCACTTGTTATAATCCAAAGTGCTCTTGGGTACTGCAACCTAAAAGCTCCCAGATCAGATGCTAATCTATAAAAAAAAAAGAGAGAGTCATGACTATTCGATCCTTGTGGGGGGTTGTAACAAGCCCCTATGATAAGTTCAAAAGTTTCAGACCATAGATGACACCACAAAATACCCTTTCATCACTGGAGGGCTTCAACTTATGCATATCAGCATTTATTCTATTGTGTATTCCTACTAAGATGCCTCCAGATGCTCGACCAGTTTTATTAAGTCAAACAGCTGGCAGAGAGCCAGCCAATCTTTTCTCTAGTATGCCTGACCAATTGGAAGCCCTAGTCATGTCAAGAGGTGAAGTCACGAAGTATTAGTGCCGTTAGGGACTAGGAATGAATTGAAGAGTATAAGGGATTTCTATTAATGGTTATATTATTTATTTATCAATTTCAAGCTCTCCCTCTTCTGCTATTTTACTCATGAGAAAACATTTGACACAGTTCCAAAAATCCACATAATTTATAGTCTAGGAATAGTTTTACAAGATTAGAAAACTTATTCGAGGACAAAAATCAATCTCCTTTGAGTCCTGTCAGGCAGGGAAACTGATATACTTCACTTACCATCAGAACAGAGTACCATATCCATTTAATGGCTTAAGAAGATCAAATGTTGACAAGACTCCCAAACCTTGGATTAGTCTTCTCTCTTAGTGTTTAATCAGTGAAACAACCCTATGGTGCCATTATTATTCATAAATGTGTTTATCCTGGCAAATTTATTTAAGAACAAATTTATTTTGGAAATGCATACTATTTATGTATGCATGTTCTTCTACCATACAGTTCTTTAATGTCACTCTTGATATTAATCACTCACATCTGGTACTCCACATATACCTTCCCAAAATAATGGCAATTTTTTCCTGTATCTTAGGAAGACAAAACTTTCCATGTCTCACCTTTCGACTATTGTCTGTCTTCATCTCCCAGCCAGGAGGTAGGTCCTTAGAAGCATCGGCAAAAAGGTTGAGGAAGGTGACCAAGTCACGATTGTGCTGGTAGCGATCAAATGCACCAATGTCATGCCTAATTCGACGGATCATGTGCTTCAGAGGTGAACTGTTTGAGTACACTTCATATGCTTCCTGCAAAGCAAGCAATTTCATACATAATCACCTTTTCATTCTTAAAAATGGAAAGTGATTTATGAATGACAAAACTGACTGGATGAGCCTGAAGGATGGAAAGGAAGTCACAGCGGGAGAGGAATCTCACAGCTGGGCTTTCCTGGTTGGCTTGGGATGTGGCACGGCTGGGGCGCCTTGGAACCGGTGGTGAACTTAATCCTGTGTCAGGTCTTTCCTCCTGAAGGGATGTCATTGTTCTTCTGATGCTCTGATACCTACAGAACATCAGTGTATCAACAGTTATGTTTTCCCATCCTCTATGCACTTGAGAGCAAGGCTAAATCGGATACAAAGCCAGAACATCAGATGAAGTGGAAAGTGGGAAACAGGAGAGTTGCATGATGAAGACTGTAAAACAAAATTGGTACTGGAAAAAGATTAAGTTTTATGCTATAAGTTGTATTAGTACCACTGCTCCTTTCCTGAATTTATCTTACATTACCTTACAATAAAATTAATTCTCAAAATGAAAGGCAGAATGGATCACCCAACACAGTAGAAACAGAAACAAGGGATTAATATGTAGTTTACTTAGTCCTGTATTCAAAATTCATCAAGATCTACCAAATTTCAAATGACCACCATTACAGCATATCTAGCACATCAAAATCAGCTACTGCAATAGGTAAAGGGTTAGACTAAATTTGGTTCATATCTTCGTGTAAGAGCAAGCCAATCATCATAATGAACACAGAAATATTATGAAATCAACAACTTAGCCTGCATAAGGATGGTACTTGTAGGAATTGCCATATTGCTGACTAAACATAGTAGGTCTTAAGTGCATGAGAAAAAGCTGTCAGGAATGAAAGAAATTATTACAGAGACAAGGGTGAAAGACAGCAAGCATACCTGCGATCAAGCTGTTGCCTCTCAACTTCTTCCACATTTGGAAAAGGTGTTCCAGTGCTGGTGGGTCGAATCCATGTTGTGGTACGGTTGGCATGGTCAATGAAGAAGATGCGACCATGGCTGTCCACTCTTGCCTCCCAGCCTATAGAGACAGAAGGAAAACCAGACCATGACAACCATGATGAGGATGATGATGATGCAATGCTAACAAGTATGCACACATCTCCCCCTTCATTGTGTGTTGACTCTCATGTTGTCTGACATGCAATCAATGCTCTTTCTCAAGTGCTTGGTGTTTGCCCATGAATAAATACGGAAGGGACCACTCTCCCCCTACCTTTTTTTCTGTCTCTTCAAGAGGAGAGTAGATCAAGGCCAGAGGGTATTCCTTCCGGTCTCAATCCCTGCCCATATGCTCACTTCCCAAGCATTACACTTGTAATGATCTTGGGTAAGATCACTCTGCGATGATATGCTACATGAAAGATGATTTGTTGCTTTCTCAGTAAGCAAGGCTTTTCTCCACAATGAGCCAATCTGGCAGTAAAACTAAATTCATAAACTGGACCCTTCCTGATTAAATTGACTTTAGAATCTTGACATCAGGGAGGATGACTGATTCATACCTGAAACCAGACATTTTCACATTCACAATATTATTTATTGTGGCATTCTTTGAGGAATGCCTTGGAAGTAATATCCATTTGATTCCAGTTCATAAATAAGCCATCTAATCCTTGAAGCGATTCTGGATATGGCTAAGTAAAAATAATACAGGGTTGTCCACAATTGTCTCCCCAAAATTAAAAGCTTATTACTCAGGAAGTATACATCCAATTTCAATGATATTTGACTCACATGATAGCCAATTCAATATATTTTTATTGAGTAAAATTCCAGCATTGCATAAGAAACTAGAATAAAGTTACACCCTAACAAATGAAAGTACCCAATTTGGTACAACTGAAGCCAGTAAATATCACAATTCATTCTGAAATTCACAATTCATTCATGAGTTTTCCATGCATTACGAGGGATTGTGTGTGGCAGGTGACATCAGTATCCTGCAGATGATGAATATTGTCATTTGATTTGATAGTTTGAAGAGCACAATTTTTGTGCAGGGAAATATGAAAATTTCTTCAGTTTGGGGTCCAAATGGCTCAGTTCCTGATCATGGAGGCAATTCAAAAGACATTTCTGAACCTGAGAAGATTTTATCGGCGGACCTATGACTACTTAGATATGCTGAAACAGGTCATTAGAGATGCCTTTGCCACAGTAGGATCAGAGATGATTGAAAGAAGTCTGCTGGCATTCAAAGAGAGGTTGCACCAAGTCATTGAAAATTGTGGATGTCATATTGAACAGTTGTGGTTTGGGGGCTTTCATTTGTAAGGATGCAACTTTGTTTCAGTTTGATACACAATGCTGGAATTTTCCACAGTACAAATATATTGAATTGGCTTTCATTGGAGTCATATATCATTGAAATCAGATGCATACTTCTTGAGTAGTAGGCTTTTGCTTTTGGGGAGACAATTGTGGACCACCCTGCATATTTGGATAACTGTAAAACTACTAACTTCACTACTAAATTTTAAATCCCAGATGGCTGAAGGAGGATATTTTTGGCACCTTGCAGTAACCATATTACTTGAGACCAGAGAGGAACAGTCTAGCTTCTGTTGGCCAAAAGCTGATTCTCAGTATATAAATCATAGGCCTACAAAGCTAATCCATCATAAGAAGGTTCATAGAAAATGTTATGAGAAACAAAACAAAACATAGGTTATGCTGAACTCACTTGGAGGAAGAGGTTCCTCCCCAGGTCCTAGTTGTACACGAGGCATGATACCCATCTTCTCTGGGATGGATGGAAGCCTTGCAGTGGGTGTGTGAGGTGGATCCTCATCCTCCCATACATGCACTGTCCTCATGGCTTTGTTGTGCTTCAGGCGAGGATGATGTGTTGGCGTGGGTGGGCATGCCAGCACTTCACCTCCAATGGCACCAGGAATGAGGACATCTTCAGCAGAACTATCACTTGATGATGACGGGCCAGACCGTCCCGGTCCCATCTCAAGCCGACGGAGGAGACTAGAATCCTCCTCTTCCTTGTTGGAAAGAAAACGCTGGAAGTCTTGGAGCATGAGCTCCACACTTGAGTCTGAAACATTATTTTCACCATCTCGACCTGCCTTTGCTGATCTGATCTCATTGTCATTGGCATCTTTGTCCACGATCATAAATGAAAACATGTCCTCTGGTTTCAGGTACATTCGTGTCCTCTTTGGCACGGGTGGAGCCATGTCTGAGCAGTTGACATCAGGGATGGATGCTGGAGGTGTCTTGTTGGTTGGTGTAGGGAGTTTGGGCTTTCCAGTTGATCCAGCCATCAAGGGGGGTGGACATGGGCAGGGGCGTGACTTCACTGGGTGACCTGATCCATTCAAGGTGAGACCATTAGAAAATTGTAAGGCCTTGGTACGCTCCAATGGCTTGTGCTTGTTTGCTCGAGGTGGCAGAGGAGGGGCTTCAGTGTCTCCCTGTCTTAATGCATCCCCGGAAACCAAATCTTCCCATAGTGGGACATAATCAGAGTTTGGTAGGCATGTGTCATCACGGTTCCAGTGATTTACTTGGGATGGTGGATTGGTGCGACGTTCACGGAGGCTAGCCTGGCGCCGGAACACAAGTGGACTCCCATTGGCCAGGTTCTGATTTGGTGGAAGGGGGCATGGGAGCTCCTCCAGGTCACTGACATGTCCATTGGCATTGGCACTACCATTGATGCCACATGGTTCTCGGGAGATGGTGAAACCAATCATTCCAGTGATGATGTCATCTGAGCTCCGGTTGGACAATGGGAACTCAAGCTGCACTGAACCTCTAACACAGGAAAAAAAAAGTATTATGATCACTAATAATCTATAGCTACACTGGTAACTCATACTTACTGGAGTCCAATAAATGAAAGTGATTCCATAAAAATCCAAACAAAAAATGCAAATATTAAAAAAATTAGTTTTTAAGAGCATTCCAAAATATGAATAAACCATTAAGTTGCAGTATTTCAGATGCATTTTCTGATTACAGAACAGGTAAAAATCACAGAGCCAGATATGGGGAATAAAGCAGGTGTTCAAGCTCTGAGATGTTGAAAATGCATCTGAAAAGCTAAAGATTTGAGGATGTCCAGACCATTCTAACAAATGTGGCTCATGAACTTTTATCCTTTCCAATAGAGGACTTTATGAGGTACATCCAGAAGCTGCAGGACCACTGGCAGAGGTGCGTGGACTCCCAAGGAGAATCACAGAAAGTGATCCTAGCAAGTAACTCCAAGACCCCAGCCCACAAAAAATAGTAAGTCGTGTCCTGAAACTTTTGGATCAAACCTCATATGTAGTGCATAATTACTTTTTTCCCTTATCTTTTGATTAACTCTAAATTTCAAGTACCAAATGGGTTGAGCTCATGAACATATTTATTCTACAAGTCAAGATATATCTAATGACACCCATGATGTCAGTGAATGTGATAGGACATGCTGCCAGATGCCAGATTTCACACATAAAAAAATGTATTTCATGTGTGAAATTATATGAATAAGGTTTCAACAAAAACGCAAAATACTATGAGCTTTGAATCAAGCTTTCTAAAATGGCAGCAATAACCCAGCTACAGCTGCAATCATTAAGAGAGGAGACCTTCACTTGCTGTGACTTCAATGGAGAAGATTCTAGAATATATCAAATGGCCTACTAAGGTTCTATGCTAATGATTTGGATAGTCTTAGGAGAATGTAACAGACAAGAAACAAAGTATGCACTTTAATGGCTCATTAATCTAAGCTCCTACTTCTCTTGCTTATATTGTACATTTTCATATCATCAGTATGCATTCTCCACATCAATAAGAACTTTTTGATCATATGGAAAATCAATCAAAATATGAATAGCAAATGTAAGGAATGTACAGGGTGGTGCACAAAAACCTTCATTTCAAATCCTTACAAAATTCTTATTCTTCTTCCGATTCTTCTGAGACAAAGTTAATTAAAAGTGCAAATCAAAAAGTTTTATTAGCACTATATTTTTCTTTTCTAATTTGTTGAAATTGTGCAAATAACTGAAGAAAAAAGAATATTCATAGTTGAAGAATATCAGTATACTAATTCCTCCATTCTTGCTGTTGTAAGACTTGCAACATTATGAAACTTCTTGGCCATGTTGTGCACTGGTTAGTTGGTGGATCTCTTTCTGAGAATTTTTGGCTGAAATGCCTTGCAACAACTAGAATGGAGGAATTAGTCTACTGATATTCTTCAACTATGAGTATGATTTTTTCTTCAGTTATTTGCATCATTTCAACAAATCTGAAAAAATGAGAATTTTATAAGGATTTGAAATGGTCTAAGTTTTTGTGCACCACCCTGTATGTTGGCATTTTTTCCAGTGTGCATTCTAATTGATGAACAAGATTGTTGATGCTAGGAGAAGCTCTATAAGTATAAAAGTGCAAGAGTAAGATATTCTAGCATACAATAATAAATACAAAAAACAGATCATATGACCATTCACAAGATAAAAATTGAAAGCACATAAATAATAAAACATGTAGCAGTACCTGTAAAACACAAAATATCTAAACCTAGAACATTCTCCATGTGCTGATTTTCTATCATCCATGATCAAATTTCATCAACTTAATTCTGACTTCACAGCCTAGAGGCAATCTAGTTGGCAAGCAAGGAAGGACTAATTAATTCCCTATTTCAGACTCTGGAATTCTATGTCTTGGTTATAGCCCTCATAACCATATTTTTACATGCAGGTAGGCATATCTATATTTTGATTTTGACCTAAATACTTACTTAAGCTAGTGGGAAGTGAATGCTTACATGAAGCAGCTCAATCCCAGAACATTCACATTCATTACTTTAGATGGAAACATTGTCAGTTTTGCATCTCTCTATACAACCACAATGTACCATCATCTCAAAGTCAGTCCACTGTTGCCTGATGCAGCAAAAGGTTGTTGCCTATTAACCTGCTTATATTAGTTCCATCTATTCTTGCATGATATTAGTTTCCAAATGATCACACAGGCTAGGAGTTGTTACACACTCAGGATCAACACCACCATACAACCCCCAAATATCTAGTTCTTGGAAGTAAAAAAGTTAAAGGAATTAATATTCAAACTTTTGTAACATAGATAATCCTTAATTTTGGTACATGCAAGCAGGGTTTCAACATTAATTATTCTTTCAATAGATAACCTCCAGCAACAAAGGCTAAAACAGCACATATGCCTAACTTGACTTAAATCAGCCAAATGCTGAAGCCTGTTTGGGGAACTCTCTCCTTTCCCTGTCATGAGAAGGTTTTGCATTTTTGACACCACCTCAAATCCTCACTATTCTTCGACTCCATTGGCACAGCCCCCCTCTTTCGTATGAATATATTTCCAAATATGTCTCCACCCTTTAATTGACTGATCAGGAACATCACCAACTGTTGTATTGTCGCATCTAATCCAACAACTGCACATATTCATCCAGCAGTCCCTATGATTTCTTTTTTTCAGGATTATCTTAAACTTTTTTTCTCAACCCAAACTTGAAAACAACTTCACCTTGGTCCTATTCCCAATGGACACTTAAGATACAATACTTGCTAGTTTGTTCATTCCTCTCTTCATGTCTCAAGATCTAGGGGAACCTTTTGTGCTTGGCAAAAATATTCTACACTAGCAGAGTATGCTAAGTCTACATTTTTCCAATAGAAACAAAAACTTCCAGGGAAAGCATGTCAACGATTCATGTAAGTAGATATGAACATAGGATAAAGTCTATCACTGATGCAATTCACTTCAGGAATAACATTTCTCAGAGATGCTTAATCTTACATCCAAGTTCTATCTAATCGGTAAAAGTGTGTTATCAAATGAGGATAACCACATCATGAAGTCATTGCTTCCACCATAAGGAAAATAAGCAGCAGCTGTGTCAATACTTGATATCTGAGGTGGTATGACTATATGGACAAACCAAAGTAGCAACTTTCTTTTGAGTAAGGGATTGAAAATGGCTTACTTGGTGCATTGCTCAAGTAGGAGGGACACAGGAATGCTGGCATGGCCAAGAAACCGGCTCATGATGGGTCTAGCCTTGGCAAATCGGTCTTTCACCTCCACCTCCAAAATGTCTGATCGGCTGACAGCAAACTGAAACTCCTATTAGAATTAGAATCATGTCAATTTCAGTCCACAATTATTCCAATTCATCCAGAGAGAAAGAGGAAGAGAAAGTAAGGAAAGAGGGATGAAAGTCAGACACACCTCTCCCTTCCACGAGGGATTGATGGAGCTGGGAGCAACATGAGAACGCTTGTCTTGACCATGATGAGGTCGCACCACAACCCCTTCACCTGAGCCTGGTCTCACCCACATCTTAGCATAGGGGTCTGGTTGAAAGAACATTCCTTTCCGAAGGCCACGTGCATGAACATCTAGGGGAGAAAAATAATATGGAAATGGTTATAATTCTTAATGTCTTTTTTTTGCTTCTGGAAAAATATCATTTTGCCATGTATAGACTATCAATAAATATGACAAAGTAAAATTGTTTGCATAGCTATCAATATATCTACCTGACTTGATAATATAAACACTAAAGGGGGAAAAAGAACTGAATTTCAAATGGAAATTTCTCATTTAAAAAAATCAGAAAAAGGAAAAGAAACATGAATTGACAAATTTCCTTCACAAGTGGTTCAATCAAATGGTATCCATTATTCAGTATATACAGCATTCAATAGCATGTTTTGGAGTTGCCTTCAAAACTGAGTTAGAATTAGACTTCAGATTTAAAAAGTAATATGCCCACTTAGAGGATACTCTCATTTTAATTAATGTAGCAAAGAAAATATAAAGGGCCAGTCACACAATCTGCACAAAAAATGCCTATTGAATGTACTCATATACCCAAACTGATTAATTTGTGTGCCCAAGAATTCTCTTGTCAACTCAGTCATGTGTTCTATGGTAGGCATGGGAGTTCTTGTTTCAGAAGAAGTTGAAATTCAGGGCTGAAAATTGAAAGTTACATAATTGTCCGCAAGGACACTGGAAACCAGAATGAACTGGTGTTCAAGGTCCTACCTACTTCATTTCACTACTGAGCATGGAAGGAAGCAACAACTTACTACTCATTGCTGCTTTCAACATTGTAGTAAAACTAAGGACACAAGGCAGTGGACTTATTTCACATTGAAGTTGCAGAGGTGCTTCAGAAATCAAGGGAGGCAATTCAAGCAATTTGACTTTGCATCTTTCTTAGTCTGAATGCCATTACTTAAATTTTGACATTAATTCAAAAGTATGAATATCCTCTGGGCACCTTATGACTTTCTTGTTTTAATTTTAATAATAGCTCTCAAGGTAATATAAAACAGCATATATTACACATTAACATATACAAACAAACACATATATGAACAAAAAGAAGAAATTAAATATAAAGAGGATGTGAAGTCAGGATCTGAAACCAGGATATTTTGGTATCTTGTGAAGAGTGAAGCCTTGAAATTAGTTTGGAAGACCCCAACAGCCACAGATACAGAATGTGTGTGAACAAAGGATAATCTAAGACCAACGTTATTGTCAAGCAATCTTGGAGGATGCAGTGAGGCCTCAAAATTCATGATAATCAACTCCAGGCAAACTTCTACAGCTTACCCAACAGGTCAGACATTTGAAAATTGCTCATTTCACAAAACTTCCCAAATTTATTTAGTAAAGCTATTATTAACCTCCAAACTGCAGCATAAAAACCCACACATGATTCGAGCTGATTTTTATAACTTGAGTCCTTGCAATTTCTTTTGACCTTGCACATAGGCCGTAATGTGTAGACTACACTGTAGAGCCAAAGCAACCCTTTACTGATACCTTCCTTTTATTGTAATTTTCCTGTTCAGTGCGACCATTTCACACTTGATATGGCCATAGCATAGTTGTATCAACAAACCATGCGCCACAAAGAGAGCAATGAGTATCAACGCTTTGTGGTCCACCTTTCAGAAGAAGGCAGATGAGTGACGAGCGATCAGTTCTTGAGGAGAACCCAGCTACAGCTTCTGCAGCAGGTGCAGCTGATGATGCGGAGGAAGAGGAAGAAGAGGAGCAGGAGGAGGTGGCATCATCCATCTCCTCTGTCCTCCTCACTAGAATCACAGGAGAAGAGGCTGCCACCTGACCATTCTCTCCTTGAAAGTACCTCAACTGCACCCGTGTGACCTCTGAAAAAAGTTCAAGATTTGAGTTGGGACGTCGAAACGCATTTCTGCTCATATTGGCACCTCGATTACGTTAAGCCTACCCTTTTAATGATAGATATTGTCCTTGTAAATTATGGTGCGTGAGTCCAAACTATGTCTAAATGGAAGTACTAGTACCCCAGGACTTGCATAGAGCACACATCCTTAATATGGCAGGATAATGGTTCCTGTTATCCGAAACCCCAGGAAACACTCCCGACGGCCGAAAATTAACATTAAGCCCACGGTGACCTGTAAATAATATGTGCTAAGATTTATGAATGAGTTTAGGAAAACCTAACTAAAAACTTTTGAAGATCCCAGTTCAATATTACGGAAAGAAGACAAGAACTTAAGAACTGTATTCATAAATTGTTGGATAACATATTGACAGGTTTACGTCCAGCGACATTATGAAAGTTTCAAGAGGCTTCCCTCGAGATCGTGGAACTCAATTCCCGAGAATTACCCCAGACCAGGAATTAAATGGATAAGATAACGACCTGGAATCCGAATCATCATTTCGCCATCGACCTTTGCTCTAAATCATCTTCATTCGTTTTTATCTTTTCCTTATTTCCGATCGTGGATCCTAACGACCCAGCTGGCTCTTCGCACAAACGACTCGGCTTTTCGATAGACCGGTTTCAATTGAGGACCGTTACTGTTAGGCACTCTCATCCCGAAGCGATTCGAAACGCGTCAACCGTAAAAACAAATTAAGTACCGCATGCCGGAACTTCGACCTGCAGATCGACCTCGCGCTCTTATTGCCTCCGACTCGATACGGATGGCGATGGAACCCAGAGGACGACCGTTGAAACTCCGTCTCATGTGACCTCCATCACGAAGCGAGCAAGGGCTCGTATCGGTGTCTTCCAGTTCGTCCTCATCCTCTTCGCTTGTCTCCTCGAGCTCCGATCGAATCCCGGAATTATCATCAAATCTGGTCTTAAGACGCCTTTTTGTAATGTTGGATGCAAATGATTGCTTTGGACCGTGAGAGTTTTCCTCGATCTCACCTCCACCCGAACCCACAGTGTGCCGAACTTCCAAGGACCAACACCAAGCCTACGAAGGTCGAGTGAGGCTGAGCGAGTACTTTTGCGAGAAGAATGGTGTCATAACGAAATCTGGACACCGGTGCTCATTAACAACTAAGAGAGTGATTTGAAATTCTATATGGGAGTGTTTTATCGTCGGAATACGGAGGAACGACCAACCGCCCAACCCCCCAGTAATGATATTTTTGGAGGGAATGTGTCCACTATTGTCTGTTCACTTATATTTATCTTGCGCCCACGTTTCTTTTTTCCTTTGTCCATGAAAGCATCGAAGCTCAAAGTTACTCGCTAGAGGCAGGGACTACGTCTTCACAACCTAGCAAGTAAAAAAATAATTCCGCAACTCGAGTCTCACCATAGAATAATTCCTCCTCGTTCTCCCCATCACCATCGGGGTGAAAAAAAAAAACCACTACGCTGTATGTCCACCGTATCTCCATGTCTTCAATGATGTGAAAGGCCTAGATGAGATCCCACCTCGTTGACCTTCCCAGCAATTCGAGTCTAAACGTCAAAACGCCGCTTGTAATCGAGTCCTCGTACCTCCTTTAATTTGTTAGTAGCCCGTCTCCGAAGGTTGCATGTTTCACTTTCGGCAGATCTGCCGCGACTCACACCCATAGCATCCATGCGTGAACCGTCTACGTTTCTATTCTTTCTACCTTCCCTCTCCAAGCCTTATTACTCATTCCATAACTCGCATGTGGGCGAATAAATGCATTCCTCTGAAATTTTAACAACATGATGTCGGTCTATCTTCACGCCAAACCAGTACATGATGCATGCAGTTCGGGTTCACTGATAATTCTGAGCTCTGCTCGGCAGGCACCATCTTCACCTTCAACGCACCTTCAAGACATTTCCTTCATAAGGCCTTCATTAGCCGCAAAAAACAATCACACCACTGCAGTCCGCAATCCTAACCATCAGACCTTTCACTCGGGTCACCAGGTCAACGAAATGAGCCCCATGAGGCGATGATCAGCATACAAATAACTTTCCAAGGACGGACATAAAAAGAATGTGCGAAGATTTTGGGATTTCTTACCGTCTCGGAACAGCTGAGGATTCTGAATGAGCCACATCATGCACTGTCGACACTGATCCTCGATGCCAAGACTCCGATACTCCAAGTATCGGAATGGATTCTCCTCATCTGCAGGGAATGAAAAATAAGTGAAGACAAATAAAGACGATCTCAAGTAGGGTATCTTAAAAGGACACAAATGCACAGGACGAGTCGGGAAATAGCAATAGAGACGTTACACTACACTACACTACACCACTCCCCCTGACCTGTACATCTTCCTGCCTCGTATATTATATTAAAACGGTGGAATGAACACATGCAGCGGATATACCGGAAGGGAGTGTTTCCGTCCGGTCGATGGCATGAGCCCAGCCTCAACGGCTCTTTCTCTGTTCCTCGTTTCCTTCATCGGCCAAGCATTGCGCCCACTTCCCGGATGCCTGGCTCCCTTTTCTTTCATCTCACTTCCTTTCCTCCCAGGAAGAACAGAGGGGAGAAAGGGAGATGTACGTATATATCCATTTCATCCAATACGACCCCATACCATCAGCGGACGTTTAAATTTGGGTCATACGACTGACAGATTTCCCATTCGTGGGGATCTCCTTTTCGTTCCGAGGGGCACAAACCCGGAAGCGATCTCGGATGAAAGCACCCCAGGTAAAAGCCAGCTGGAGGAAATCATTGCCAAGCCAGCTGAAGCAGAACAGGAGGGATAAAACGCATCTAGTACAGCACATTCGCTGGTATCGCGGAATAAGTCGCAGAGATCTTTTGTCCTTCGTTATATAATTTCTTTAAAAGAGAACCAACAGACCATCGTGGCTGAAGAGGATTGACCATGATCCCTTCTATGGGGTAGGTAATGGTTGGCTGAAAAGGGTGAGGGGGTGGGTCAATACAGGAAGAAAGAGGGGGAGGCAGGAAGGAATAAAAAAAAAATGAGGGGATAAGATTTTCACTCCACCCAGCACAGTTCCGGTCAACGTCACAGAGGAAGTCCTCCATCCCTTTTCCCATAACACATGATTCAAGAGCTGTCTCGAAGGCATGGAATCTATTCTTGGGAATGGGCTCGCCAGTGACGTCACCATAATCATAGGACTGCCCTTGGGGGCCTAAGCAGTAACGCCATGGCATGCCTGGGATTCCTTGACATGAAATACCCTTTGCTCCTTGAGCCCTGGCAGATCGTGACGACCCCCACCCCAAAAAAACGCCGAAGAGTCCAAAGGAATAATATACCGCCGCTTGGAGCGGCGGTACATTATTCCTTTGAGAACCAGTCCGCGAATCTTCCGGCTTTTTATTTTTATTTTATTTTTTTTTGTATTCCAATCCAACCAATTCGTCGTGAGGAAAGAGAAAAGAAAGGAGTCTGTCTCGAACTATTCTGTCACGTAAGTTCTCAATCTCATCCTACCTATTCAGTGAAGGACTCTCATCCAGACTGCACGAAAAGCGCACTCACATGAGTCATCATAGCTTTCGCGGGTACATGGGTACGTGAACGGAATAGAGCTGTACGAATCATTCGAATGCATCATCCGTACTGGTACAGACGAGTCGATCGGTTCCTCCCCCTCCCCCTTACAGGCTGAGAGATGCAGACAATCGCATGCGACTTCGTGACTTTTTCGGTACAATCGAAAAGCTGGGAGGAGTCTTGGTTCGTGAACGTGACCGAGCGTGAAGGGTGGGAGATACAAAACGGGCCTCGCTGTGGGCTCGCTTCTCGACCTCATTACAACACCGGGTCAATGCAAAAAGCAGGACCAAGCCGGATCTCCTCCACAGGGTCAATGTCATCCCCATTATTTTCTTGGCTCACCCGTACCTCCACCAAGTATTTCCTTGGCCTTTCTGGAGTTCACTGAAAACGAAAACAGGGCGTCTCGTTTCATTTTAGAACAGGATATCGACATTGCTAACACCTTCCTTCTCAAGAGCATCTCGGGTGACCATCGCTTCCCGCCCCTCGCTCTCTCCCCCTTCCAGCGATCCGATCTCTGCTCACCATAACCGGGGGCAGATTCTATTGTTTCACAAACATATCCCAAGTTATAGGGAATTTTTTTATTTACCAACCTAAGCTCACGATCGGCAGACATCACCTTAGAGCGCAATGCACGAATCCAGTGCAATGGATTACGGGATTCACTAACCCGATTGAGGATCCATGAGTAATCACACAATTGCAATGATGACGAAAAGTTGCACGGCAAAATGAAATTCATGAAATATAGATATTTCATGCAGTGAGAAATACTTCATAAATACTTCGTCTAGGAGACACAATCCATCCACGTGTGAGGCAATCCCCACACGTATTTTCCGCCAGGATGAACCGCAGAACGTTGCGACATCTCACCTAGGCCTAATTCAGCTAGCGGGACTCAACCAGGGGCCTGTTTCATGGAATTTACTTCTAGTTCTACAAGTTCTACAAGTTACGAGTAATTACAAGGGTCGTGTCGTAGTCGTGCGAAGGGCCAGCAGGACCAGCTGGAAAATTTATGCAAGAAGACACGACCCGTGCAAGTATTAGTAACTTGTAACTTGCAAATTCCATGAAACAGGCCCCAGACGGCAGTCGACCGAATACAGGCCTGGCTTACCTGCAGGTCTGTAAGGAAACGCCGATAGACGTGTTTAATTGGCGAGATAATGGGGAAACGAGGTGAGAGAAAGAGGATGCACATGAGGGTCACCGGCACCACACACCCGTAAACATGAATGAACCCCTCGGCGCGTGCAAGCATGCATCAACGAATGAATGAACCACGGTATGAATGAGTGCGTGGCGCTCCTGCACAACCTTCATCCCTCGCTCGCACGCACACGCACACACACACACACACACACACACACACACACACACACAGGCTCTATGGATCTACTGCGTTTTTCGCTTGAGTTTGACAATTTTTCACTTGACTTAGACACACTTGCATGGGACGTTCCTCATGCATGCGTTTCGAAGTCAATTGAAAAAGTGAATGACTGAAATGAAAAACACTGTAAATATGGTATAAATTTCACCGATCTCCAATCTTCCCTTGCATCGAGAACCAACACATACATGACTTTCACAAGTGTGGTTGGTTCAGGTGGCATCGAGCAACTTGGGTTCCAGCTAGTGGGACTAGCCAAGCTAGACGATGTGGGGCAGGCTCCAGCGCTGATGCGGAACACCCGGGGTGTACATTCTTCATCGGTGTGATGGAAGATCCCCAAATAATGAAGATGAAGGCTCAGCCAGTCGGGTCAAATTAGTAGTTCCAAATTGTACAACGCGAGAGGTAACCGGTGGGGCTCGTTTGTTGTGTCCCACGATGCAATATTTCTCAGAAGGCAATCAACCTAACGCCACGCTACATGCTGAACATGGGGGTTCTGCTCTTAAGAAAAAAAAATATATAAAATCACTTTCAAGTCAAACCCTTGAGAATGAAATGGCATCTCGAATCCATTAAGAAGGCCTTTTGAGATATCAGACTCGGAGGAGGCATGTGTCAATGATAACGGGAAACGAGTTTAACAGCCCAAATTCTGGGGTCGAATGATGTTTCCATTAACACCACGAAAACAACTCGCAACCTGAATATTTGAATGTTTGGCGCGGAAGGGGAGAATAATTCGAAAAAGCCAGGAAGTCAGAGCTGAGGGGATGGGGGAAGACGGAACGAGTGAATAGCGGAAAAGGAGGAGATTTCCGCCCCTATTTTGGGAAAGCCATCTGTCTCCTCGACCCTCCTCAAACTCAAATGTGGCCACTCCATCCTGTCAGCTGCTTCCGACTCCGACAATAGGGAAGCAGGAAATGAAGGGGAAACGGTCTACTGCTACGTCATACGAAACCTGCTCCCTGTTGCTAAAACTTGCAAAGAAAAATGAAAATAAAACGAAGCGCAAATTTTAGAACAATTTCTTGCTCAGTTGAAGCTCAGGTGAGGTTCAACTGCAGTCATACCAGTCGACTGCGAAAATGAATGGGCTGAGCTGTACTTGTTTTTTTTTCTTCATTATTATCCCCATTCCAGTCGTGGTTCCTAAAAGTCCAAAAGCCCTACTCGATTTTACATGTTCGCACTTCTGACTTCGGAAACATTGCGATTTAACTGTCTGAAATGAAAACTCAAACTTTGGAACGTAGTAATTCTCAATCCAGTGTGCCCTCCTAGTTGCCCAATGCGACGGCGATCAGACAGGTCACGATTGGAAACTTTTATGAACCTCAATTAGACTGCGAGTGAACAGGAAGTTGGCAGCAGCCACTTGGCTTCAACTAAGACGTTATCCTTGGACAGCCGTGGCATATGTGAAAACTGGGACTCGCGCAATGCGGACAACCTAGTGAATCTAGGACTGCTTTGGTACTGTCCTATGTTTCCGTCTCGGGCGGTGATGGATTCATGAGTCTACTCGGATTAGTGTGTGACAGAGAAACAAAGTTAACCTGAGAACGATACCTCGATAATTAAATGACCTGAATCCCAGGAAAGCCTTAGTCGAAACACAGCTAAAGGTCATGTGCTTTACACTGCTTTCAATAATTTACACTCTGCTTCAGCACAGACGAGGAACAGGCCCTAGACAGGGACATGATCCATAGGGTAAAATCCGGAAACGCAAGGACGATTGCGGTCTACCACTTTTCTCTCACGGATCCCTTCACACATTTCACTCGTTCCATGGCCAAGAAGACTATTACTCTCCTCAGTCCTACCTCAAGTCGATTTCTCCTCTTCACAATGAAATCTTCTACGACTAGTATAAAATATGAAAGTATCTTCGGTGAGAATTCTTGCACGAGACGTCCGCCCCATGAACCGTGAGATTATGTATGTGATTGGAGAGAGCGGGAAAGGGAAAGAGGGAAAGAGGGAGGGAGGGAGGGAAAGAGGGAGGGAGCCATTAATACTAAAATGAATTCTCGTTCATTATGAAGATCGTATGCTGGCCTCAGCAGGTTTTTCGTCCACGAGCTGCCTCTGGTGTCCTGATTTGTAGATCTTAGAAAAATTGCACGCATCTCATCTGGAGGGGGAGAGGGAGAGGGAGGGGGAGGGGGAGGGGGAGGGGGAGGGGGAGAGGGAGGGGGAGAGGGAGAGATATCCTCCTCACCTACTTAGATGCTCCGCGAAACATTTAGTGAGCGAGAGACCGGAGAGGGAAGGAGATAGCGCAGTCATTTCTTCCTCGCTCGAAAGAGGATGATTTCATATCATCCCGGATATCCCGCCTCCACTCATTCTGAGCCAAGAAAAGGCAGAGTTGTCACATGCCTTTCAGTTCGAATGAAAAAAAAGGGATTCCTATCTCTTTTTTCGCTTTACCCATGCTTTGTTTTCTTTGGCATATACGGGTGGCAATAAAAAAATCCTGTACTGGTTTTGTAACTTCTTTCTCCGACGTACAGGTCTCGTATCTTGTGTTGGATTTTGGCGGCCCATTAGCAAAATTTATTGTTTACTGTTTTTCGTTCAAATTCTCAGGAGAATTTTAAAAGTGTATCCTCGCACCCAGCGAATGCGAGTAAGGAATTTCTTTAACCATCTTAAACATTTTGAACGTCGTCAAATTTTGCGCGGAAGTGGAAAAATGAGCCACGCCCCTGGAACTTTGAAGGCATTCGAGTGACGCAAACGAAACGATTTCCAGAAAACAAGGTTGACCCAAAGATTAGGGCGATCATCAACCTCACCTAGAGAGTGGAATATTGCGGGAAGTGCCTGAATGGCTCTATAGTCCAGTTCTCAGAGGAGTCATGAATTGACTTTCTGAAATATTTGTTTCAGTTGGCTCCTCTCTTCAATATATGTTTATGGCCGACCTGACAGGGTCGGTTCCTCGTGAACTGTTCTTCCCTGTCAAATATCATCTAGTAGTCTTGAAAATCTGCTCCATAAGGAGCAGCACACAACATGTGTGCTGCTTCTTAAGCCTCTTAAGCACAATTTCCCAATTTAATTTTTTAAAATTTCATAGCGACCTGAATTTCCACTTCAATTTTACGAAATTTGTCTCTAACTTTTGCCACGGAAGTCAGGGTCCCAAAAATAAACTGAAAAATTTTCAGAACGAAAATCAGCAAGCAAAAAATTCTGTCCATGCTCCCCCAAGACCCAACAC